CCCCCCCCAAAAAAAATAAATAAATAAATAAATAAAGACCGCTGATAACCATTGACAAATATGAAGAGATATTTGTACTCTTAACTACTGTGTTATTTCTTCAAACTTCTCTAGGAAATAACACCCACTGATATCATTGGTAACAAAACATTGAAATAGAATATACATATTTATACATCTCTTAGACTGTTGATGCCAACTCTCACTTTTAATGCAGGACCTGCATAAAATGAGTTCAGAAAAAGGAGTTTACCTTGTTCTTCATGGTGCCTCCGGATTATCCAAGGAGCTTATAAAGGTATATTTCTTTATTCATAAAAACATAAGAAAAATGGTTCAAGAAGGTTTCATATTGAAAATACAACATTAACTTCATTGATAAGTCATAACTAATCTGTATTTTGTAAGAACTGATTGTTGGCTTCTTCTAGAAACTGATACAAGAAGGAATTGTGGTGAAATTGAATGATAAACAACAGAAAGAATGTTTCTGTTGAGAGATATGTTTAGATCTGCTTTTCTCTCGGCAACACCATTTTGTTAGTGTTAGGGAGTGCAAACATGTGTGGTGATGAATAAACCCATGCTCTAACAACTAAGAGTCTAGGGACTTCTCAAAATAATCTGAAGACTTTTGTTCTAACTCCAAATTGGGTGAGAATTATCTGATAAAATTGACGGATTAAAACAAGTACTTCATCATATGAATGCATCAGATACAACCAAATGAACTGAGAATGGTCATCAACAAACAATAGGAAATATCTATAACCACCTAATAGAAAAAATTGAATAAATTAGTTTGCACGATATCAAAAGATAAATCACTTCTTTTATTACTAGATGAAAATGTGTTTCTACAATGTTTGGCAAATTGGGGCAACTTTTACACACCAAACCATACAACTGAATTGACTCAAACAATTCTGGCAACAAAACACGAAATGAAGAAAATGAAAAATGGCCCAATTGGTTATCCTAGAATGTAATCTGTCTTACATACTCTATATCAACCAAACTATTAATCACATGATGACTTTGATAATTGGACAGTGCATCCAACAGGCATTTCCCATTCACCTCATGACCACTCCAAATTGGTTATATGTCATACTAGTTGATTTCAGCAACTAAAATCAAGTAGAAGCAACATAAATCAAAAAAAAAAACAAACAAAAAAACAAAACAGTAGGAAGATAGCTTCAGCAAGGTACAAAAGATGTAGAAGTGAAAAGAACTACTGAAGAGGTTTGGAGAAGAATAGACCGTGGGGGGGATACTTAGGTTCCCCACTTATATTTATAGTCTCAGCTAATAAAAGGGAAAATTATATCGAATCCCTTCATGGGGAGGCTGCAAGCCTGCAACTAAACATGTAACAGCTAAACATAAAACAATAAGGTCCATTCAGACCCAATAAGAAAAGAAAAAAATAAAATAATAACAAGCCCAATATATTGTAATTTTAGCCTGATTGTTCTGTCAATACTCCCCCTCAAGTTGGGAATAGTTCATCATTCCCAACTTGTCAACAGCACTTTCAAGCTTCAACCGAGAACAGCAAGAATCCATCTTAGCAAAGTCTGCATCTGCAATGCGTCTGCACAAATATTAACGCAAATGCTCATCCAATATGCTAGGGGCCATTGCTTGGTGTAACGGTAAATCTCAGGCTGGAAAGTTTGAGAATGCTGGTTTTATTCTGAGGAAAACCACTTCTTGCCGGAAAAAAAAAAAAAAAAAAACAAATAAAACAAAAGCAAAACAAAACAAAGGAAAAAAAGTCAAAGGTTAGGTCCATGTGCAGTCTACCCCTCCCAAGACCCCAGATAGCCGGGACCAACATTGGTAATGACCTTTTTATATGCAATGTGATGCTTCTTTTAGTTTGTTAAACTAATTATATTTTCTATGATGCATCATTTTCAAATTATATGGGATTTTTAATGTTTACAAAGTTTCTTATGTTTAGATTTGTTGCATGTTATTCTTACAAAACAAACAAGAGAACTTGTATCAGTTAATGGAGTAACTTGACTATAAAATGAGAAACTTGTATAAGTATCCATGCCATATCCAGTTTTGATTTTGTAATGTATAGGAGTAAGGCATGTTGAAGTGTCCGGGCTAGCCCAACTTGACTCTGGGTTAGGTTTGAATTGGTTTTCCATGTCATCAGGTTGAGTTAGGATTGAAAATCCTCAACTGAGCAACTCCCTCAGTCAGAGGTGGTTGTTCTACATGACTTTTTTTTATTTTTGGTAATAAGGTTCTAATCTTGACTTGAATCTCCTAATTTTGGGCTCAGATTGGCTACCACTATCATTCCATTGAGTAAACTGGATTGTATCAGGAAGTAAATTAATTCAAGTTTTAAAAGCCAAGAAATAGAAACAATAATGAATGCCATTGAAGTTAAGTTTGTTGGATTGCTTTGAACAGGAATGCATACAACTTGGCGTCAGAAAGTTCAATGTAAATACAGAGGTACGGAAGGCTTATATGGAATGCCTTCGCAACCCCAAGAAAGACCTCATTCATGTCATGGCATCTGCAAAAGAAGCAATGAAGGCTGTGGTAGCAGAGAAGATGCACCTATTTGGTTCAGCAGGAAAAGCATGGTAACAATGTTATGCGAACCAATTTGATCAATAAATTGACACTGAATACTGGGTCAAAATACGATAAAAGAAAAAATCTCATGTTTCTTACTTTCCCATCTTTGCTAGCATTTTCTTTTACTTTAATTTTTTGATTCTCTTATATACATTAGCAAGCCATAGATCCAACAGCACAAATTGCAGTTGCGTGTTGGTACAATATTTTCTGCACCCTGTAACAGACATGAGAAGATAAAGATCATCTTTGTAACATCCTGTGCATCAAAATGGTTTATTTAACCAGTCAGATATTTTGACAAAATCTTGATCGGTTGATCCCCATCTTTCAGTTTACTTATACATGCCCCCTTTCTTTAGGAGATGTGGGCCATGTAGCAAATCCAGAGGCCAACTAAAATCAGCTTCTTCATATCTAGGAGATCTACAGAAGAAAAAATAAAATCAAAAATCTTTTTCTTAAACTTCCACTGGACTAATAATGCTCTTCCTACAATATTATTCTCCAAAATTGATGAATCATAGCAATTTCTGAATGAAGCATGCAACATCGAAAGGTCCCCTTACATCGGCTGGTTACCACACTTACTATGGAAAACCACATAACCTGGCATGTTTGCACAAAATTTTGCACTTTGGATTAGGCTTTGATCTCGTTTACTTCATTTAGTAACTTGTCATTATATTTCCAGTTTTGAATTGCGCAAGTCTGCATTTCCTTGGAGAAGAATGCAAAATCACTGAGCCAATTGAAATGGGTCCTCTCTTTGTATTTGGTATCCAAAGAAGCCTATTTGTTATGGCTCCTGACTCCTAATCCAAGTTGAGAGATACGAGATCTCTTAAAGCAAAAACCCTATAAACACCCTGCAAGCATAGGCATCCGGCCATACATTGGAAACCTATCCCCCATGAAATTTAAGATACATGTACAGCAAATATTCTGGATGTGCGGTTGGATTCTGTGTTTTCATAATTTTTGCTTTCAGGAGATCCAGGCTCAAGTTGAGAAACCATGCTATCTTCTTGGAAATAGCATTTTTACTTTTTAGGGCCTTCATGGTCTCAAACATCGCATTTCAGTATTGCCGTGATGAAATCATATACAGAGGGGCTATCTAATGAATACACCTTTGATTTCTGGATTTGATGAAACAGGTCGACTATCATTATCATGTATCATTATGTAGGGATTGCTCTTCATTTGTTTGCGCAAAATGTTATCCTCGTTCATTTGGCAGGTCCTCAGCAGCTCAGCTATTTTTTAAAAAAAAAATAAGGGTAAATTACAAAGGCCCCCTTATACTATGGGGTCTTTGACAAAGACCCTCCTGTATTACGACTGTGAGACAACTGTTAGCCTTCCGTTGAAATCTACTGTTGCAATATTTTTTAATTCCTATACTACCTTTGTAATAGCTATTCGAAGAAAAACACTGTTTATCTTCTTTGACCTCAGGATACATGAACAGCAACGGCATAACTGTTGTAGCGGAGGACTTTCGAAGTCCTCCCTCTCTTCCACTTTTTCTCCTTCCCTTTCTTCTTCCCGATTTCCTCTGTTTTCCATTCCTTGCAGCTCTAGGTGAGGAATTGGGATTACTCAAAAGAAGCTTATTGAAACATGAAAATTCAAACCAACTTGAATCAGAGGCTGCACTCTCTAGTACTTCTTCTTCAACTCCTGTTTGTACAGAAAGAAGGTTTTCTTCTTCAACTCCTCAAATACCGCCTGGTTCACCATGTAATGCAACTCATGAGCTGAAACTGGCCCTCTTCTCTTCGAACCCGAGCTGCCGGTTGATCGGAAGCTTGAGTTCTTTACGTCATTTTGTTTCTTGGATAAAACCGCGAATTTTTTGAAAGGATCCTTGTCCGTTGCTCAACCTTTTGAAGTGCTTTAAAACAACAGAAAATCTTTCAGCCTCCATTTTTTGCTCCCCTTCAAAGACGACGACGATGTAGAAGAGGATTTTGAATTTAACGAAGTGGATTTGGTGCTTTGCTATTGCTCTTTTTCTTCCCATGCAAATACAGAAACTCTGAAAGGCTACAGCGATCAGGTACCCCTACGGCTGAAATTCGAACCAGAGAACCTTTCTCTCCCTCGATTGCGTTATGATCGTTTACAAGCTTGCTCAATCTTCCACAACCCCGTAAGATCACTCTGAACAACGATATCGTCATCCAAAAACAATATCCTGTGCTCGGGTACATCTCTGGTAAATAAAACCTCAGGTGATTGAGCACGAGAGATACTTGGGGTTCCTGAGTTTCATGTTTGTTGTATCTTTGGTAGCGTTCTCAAGCTTGTTCTCAAAATAAAACCTCTGCAAGTTTGCAGATTCAAGCTGCCGGAGCACTGGAACATGAGAAGAGCTCAAAAACTTGTAATCTTCCACTGCTTTCACCTCTATGTGAGCTCCCTTATAATCTCTCGTCTTGAACATGACTTGCATTGCCCCAAGATTCATCTTGTCAGTTACGACATGAAAAACGTGCTTCCACGGCTCTTTCGAATTCTTCACCGCCGAATTAACCACAACAGACGCAGCGACCACATTATCGGAAAAAATTGCATAGTGGTAAAGCTTACGATTCTCCAGTTCCGGAGGAGGCGTCTTTCCTTCCTCCGAATACTTCTCTGGATTCTCAATTCGCTCTTGCATCAGCCGCATCGTGACACGATGCAAGCTCTTTGGGATGGATTTGGCAACAATTAAACTCGAGAAAGCACCTTGCTTCTTCGCCTTAGTGAGGTGTTCGTTGACAGCAAAATTCGTGTCCTTAAGCTTCTGAATTTTCAGCTGATTATCGAAGGAGTCCTTGCATCGTCGGCAATCACCTGCTTCACGGATTATCCTTTTCCCCTTCGTTATTATGACGTCCATAGCATCGTCGGCGGCAATCACTGGATCAGCTATGATGGTGTTGAGACTGAGCTTTGTGCTCAATATCTGTTGTGTTTTTCTTCGAGAAGAAGAGAGGGGAAGGAGAAGAGAGGGAGGACTTCGGAAATCCGATAGTATAGAGATTAAAAAATATTGCAATTTATCATAGTACAAGAGAGTCTTTATGGCAAAACAAAGTACAGGGTCTTTGTCACAGAGTTCATAGTACGGAGGTCTTTATAATTTACCTAAAAAAATAATTCAAAGAGAGAAGTCATTTTGGTAACGTCAGGTTCTCTGAATTCAATTTGCTTACCATTTGGAGAAAACAGGGTATTGTGATGATAACAACCCGACCAATGTGCCAAAAGCCCTAGGATTAATGGAATGCATCAAATCATGCCCCTTAACCATTTAAGACTGTAACAGGTGAAACAGAGGCTAGTATTTCTGAACAACCACCACCACCATGGTGGGTTTCCTCCTCATCAGTGCCGCTCAGCTCCTAGTATTCTGAACAACAGCAACCTCGGTGGCGTTCCTTCTCGGTTAACCAGTTTCAGCCATGGTGGGGTTCCTTCTCTAATCGAGTTTAGCTAACTCCTGGAGCTTTTTAGCATCAAACACCTTGCCTGCAAACCCGTTCCAACAACAGTACTAACCTCTTAATCACATATGGCAACTAAAAACTGGATGACGAATAGGCTTCGGGCAACTCGTTCCAACACTAAAAACCTATAATGATGCCATGATGGTACGGTGAAATAATAATGAGTTTGATTGTGAAAACGGGAAGGAAAAGAAGAAAATTAGTATGCATATATACTAATGGTACCGGCAATGACCGGACGGTAAGGAATTGCAGTGGTCTCGTTCCAGCTCTAGAAACCTAGAATGATGGTACGGTGAGATAATATGAGTTTTCATGTTAAGACGGAAGGAAAAACCAAAAAACAAAAAACTAGTATTCATGCTTTCCGGCGACAACCAAACGGTGAGAAATTGCAGCGGTGAAGAAGAAAACAGGTCATGGATGGAAAATCATCGAAACAATATTGTTATGTTTGGTTTGAAGGAAAGGTAGGAAAAGATAGGAAAACCTTTACAATTATATAGGCTGTGTTTGATTTGAAGGAAAATGTAAGAAAAGAAGAAGAAAGGCAAGAAAACCTTGACAAATCTTGTATAAGTTTTCTTGCCATTCCCTTCATTTCTCTACTTTTCCTTCAAACCAAACATAACCAGCAAACGCATGAGTTACACATGGCCTCCACGCCATCCAGCCGTTGGGGGCAACACTCACAACAGTAGGCTGATATTGGAAATGTCAAAATTGACGAGCTTATTATTAAGTTGAGCCACTTAAATTGTCATTAAATGGCCCTTGGTAATAGGGCTGCAAAGGGATTGAATCCAATTGGATTTAGGTAGTTGCAAATTTGATTTGCTTACATTCGAATTCTAATAAAATGATAAAAACATCATTTGTTATTAATAAAATGAACTAAAAATGACTGATTTTAAATTTCATGAACTAAAAATAATATTAAATTTGCACTTCTGACATGACAATATAGTAAAAATACAATATTCAAACCAAGTTTACAAAATAGATATAATATAAATTTCAAATCAATCAATCCAATTATAAATAAGTCAAATTTGGATTACCTCTAATGAGATCAAATTCGAATTGGAATTTAGACAAATGGGATACCGTTTGCAGCCCTGCTTGGCAAAATGGGTTGATTTACTTTGCCAAGAATCTAATAATGTTGTTGGGTAGCATCACTTATCAAAAACAAACATTTCAGATTGATAAAATCTAATACAAAACCTATTACAAAGACAAATTGATCTCGAACACTGCATCAATTTTACAAAGAACAAACCAAAACCAACACATACAAACTGAACATTATCACAAACAATACATATATCATTTTGAAAGAAAACTAATCAAATCCTGGAATACTAATGGACTTGTCATCAACCACTTGATTCATTTGTTTGTTTTGATTTTTCAATTACTCCCACCAGCAGGGTGAAGTTATATGGTGCAAACAAGTTTTAAGGAATAGAGAGTAGCATAGGCAAGTCTTGTATGTAATTTGCCTTAAGTTGGCCAACCACATCTCTCTCCTTTCTACTCTCCCTCTCCCTGATAGCTAGGCTTTTGGCTTTCTTGTTCTCAAACTGATCAAATACTATCTTCTTTCTTGCTTTCTCAGCCTTGGACTTGTGAACACTCTCCATCAGCACTCGCTTGTTCTTGAATGCATTTCCCTTCACCTTCATGTACAAGTAGTGGTACATGTGCCTGTCAATCTTGTCGAAATCCCGGTATTTTTGGAGTAGTCGCCTTAACACCCTCATCCTCCTCATCCACAGTAGCTCTGTTGGTTGCCTAGCCTCCTGTGTCCCCTTGCGCTTCCCATTCCCTGAATGCCTCCCTTTCCTCTTTGCCTCCTTCAAAGTCTTGGCCCTTGATCTTGAATGGATCTTTGCTGGCTTCTTGGTGATGATACCATCTTTCACCAGTTTCCTTATGTTCTGCCCTGTAAACAAGCAGATCAATTCACATTTAAGTCAATATCATACCAGTTGCTCAGTGTGGTTGGATCTTAGATGCTGTTACTCGTTTTTTTTGCTTAATTAGGACTACGGACAATATAATTAAGATTGCCCAAGTTCGATTTGTTTGTAATTGGATCAAACATGGATCCACCCCTATCCAATCTCATATAATATGATTATATGAATCAATATTGTGGTTTTTCCAAATTGTCATATATTCAAGTTTCATACAAGTAATTTTGAATTCATGTTGTTTATGAATTACAAATTTATTTATACCATTCAATATCCAATTACAATTCAAATTCGAATAGATCTGAAATAAATTTGGTGGATAAGATCTGATCCAAATTTGGACATAGACAAATCAATGTTGGATTTGCCTATATCTCATTTGGTTTGATTCAGTTGCAGCTCTATTTTTGCTGAAACAACAACAGTTTTATTTATTTATTGAAAAGCAAAATCATACAAAATGGTGAACATGATTTTGAGATTTCCCCTTTTTTTTTTTGACTTTCAAAGAAAATGATTTTTCTGATATTCTATAAATAACTTAATCCATAGGATGATATGCATGGAACCACGTACTTGATACTTCTCAACAACACAGGATCGAATAAGCACAAAGCAGAAATCAATTGTTATTGGCAAACGCATTTTACAAAAATTGGTTAAACGTTCAGACTTTAGACTTGAGAGTTAACCAGAAACTTACTTTATTGATGTTCACTGAGTGAGCATGAGATCTCAGGACAAACAACTCAGTTCTAGCTTATGAATTACTATAAGCAAACTATCAATAAAGCATGCTTTGATCCGCCAAGCAGAAATTGATGATAGAAAGACATTGGAATTTTATATAAAGACAAAAGTAGTTTTAATGCATGAAACCCAATAAAAATAGTTGGAGCCTGGTGTGAAGAACGATATATACTCACTAGAGTTGGCCATGGAGATATCGGAGGCTTCATTGGGATCAAGCCACACCTTCCCTTTGCCACACTTGAGAATGCTAGCGGCTAGCCGCTTCTGCAGCTTCATTGATACCATTTTTTTGCTATTGCTATGCTATGTCCTTCAAGCCAAATTAAGGAAGCAGAGATCGATCTTTAATTAATTTAATTTCTCTGGGCTTCCAATTCTCTTATGATCGAGGAACGAATACTAGAAATGGGTTTGTGCCTTTGTGGTGATGATGATGCACATTTATAGGCTTATACTTGTGAGAAAAATGCTTCTTTCTTACAGAAATACCCTTTATTCCAGAGTTATATTTTTGAAGAGTGTAGCCTGAAATTCAAGGTACTGTCTGTCATTTCATGTTATTAATAATATATATATATATATATATATATATATATTGTAGGAGTTGAACAATTGATATGGATAGGTTTCCTTGGGAAACAAGTTAGGATGATCAAAAGAGGGATATACAATCTATATCTCGGTGTTTAGTTTGACCCTCCAGTATTTATTTAGTTATATTAGCATTAAATTTTTTCTTGGTGCCCACGTAATATCTCTTGCCAATGTTTGTATTTTGTAATCACATCAGACCGGTTTGGGAAGGAGTTGGATGGCCCGACCATTTGGGTCTGGAATCTGGATTTTATGGGAAAGGTTTTACTGCCAACTCCAACTGTTGCTGAACGCTACACTGTGTGCCTAGCAGGCTTGAAGTCAATTGATGTAGCACAATCCGGTCACTCCTATCTGGCGCTCGTGTGGTTCTTGAGATGTACCTGAAACGAGAAGGAGGAAGAACTCCTAGGGGTTTCCCGAACGCTCCGATGCTTAAGTTAGTACTGTGTGCAAAAAGCTGAAAGAGAGTAAACACTAAGAGTATAGGTTGCGCTAGCTATTCCAGATACCTTGTTCCTTGAGGATAAGTTCCTTATAGCTGAATTTCGTTGCTCCGGGCCCTCTGACTTCTGACAGGGCAGGTATAACCGCCACTGTCAGTCTGCCACTGCCGTTACAGGCAGGGCTGAGGTGGCACACGCGGGGCTGTCGTGCAAGGTACGTGTCTGTCAGGTGTGGGACGCCTTCCTAAAGGTGGCACGTGCGGCGAGGGGACATGCCTGCAATTCGCAGGTTTGTCGGGTACGACGGTCGGGCAGGAAGCCCTCCTACGGTATACCGAGCTATTCTCTTGCGAATCGCCCTGTGCTAGGCCGTCCCTTGAGTGACGGGCTGCCTATAGCTAGTTATGCCGAGTTAGTCGACCTGAGGTCTTTGTGCCTCGGGGCGTCCGAAGAAGAATCGGTGTGTTCTTGCTTGGGAGTGGCCCGAGGTCCATTGGGAGGAGCTCGGGTCTCAAAAGGGGCAGGGTGCCCCGAACTCGGGACCCCCCGAAGTGCCTTAACCCCGGGGAGAGGTGCGGGCGAGGCGGCTTTCGGCAGTCTACCTGCCGAGTTGCCGTGCTGAACTCAGTGGGACCTCTCCAGCGAGTTGTGCTTACATCCGTTGTGCTGTCATGCTGAGTCACTATTTGAGATAGGTCACGCCTACGTGTACCTGAACTACGAAGTTGGGCCAAATCACCCTCCATCATTAATGATAACATTCCACATCAGTTATAAATATGAATTGGGATCTCTTTTTCACAGAATGCATCTCACAATCATATATTACTAGTACAGGAGATATTCCTTATATATGGCCAGGACATATTGTGAGATCCGTATGAATCGCACTCTATGGGAAACAGATCCGGACTCACTTAACATTTCTGGCTGATGTGGGGTTTATCATTGGCTCTACAGCATGTTATACAACCTATGTGTTCAGTTAATCTGAATTACCTCGGAGGCCAGATTAGCTGCACTTTTTGCTTTCAATGCCTTGGATTAACTGCACTTGGTGGCTGTATTAGGTGCTGTTAAACCAATAATGATGCCCCACTTTAGGTTCATCGGGTTGGAGGGTTTGGGAGAGGGCTAGCCACTATAGCTTCCATTGTAAAGCCCATTTATATCCCCTATAAAAATATCAGTGGATCGATCGGATTAAGTGGTAAACCTGCACTGATCCAACCTTATCAGGTTAGGGTCTGCTTTGCCTTATCAGATCTCAGGTCAGGTTCGGGTTGGTGTTGAATCCGACCCATTGTGGTTGAGGCACCTATTCTCGATACTGCAGATCTTAAATGGCAAAAACATTGGTGTTTTGAGCTGCACCAACACTAGGAATCAAGGTTTTTAATCCATCATTGTATTGATCTGGAAATTTGGATTGTTCAGCCTGGATATCTGACTAAGGTAACGGTTTCATTTTCACCCCGAAACCGTGTTCCCTATAAACTATTGAATTGGTCAACGATCAAATGACCTGGGTAGTCGAACCATTAACCTGGGTAATTTATTTTTAAATTAATTAATTTTTTTATTTTTTTATTTTTATTTTTTATTTTTTTTTTGAAATACAAAGGGCTGATCATTTAGACCAGATGGTCTAAGCACCAACCCAAAAACCAATGGGCAAAGTAGTTTCAGTTTCTAGTAAGTTTTTAAAACGTTGCTAATAACAGACAAAAAGAGATTTTGGGATGAAACTTAATACTAAAGAAAGGAGTCACAACCAGGGTTCAAAAGATCGGCACATATTGGCCCGTATCAGCCGAATACCTCTACAGAGGATGTATCGAGGTTCTGACTGATTCAAGGGGTGGAGAAATCTTAAACCGGCCTCTCCTAAATCATTTTTGAAAAAAAAAAAAAAAACATCCTGATACTACCCCATATACCCCTATTAGCATATCAGGCATATCAATATTTAGAACCTTGGTCACAACTACCAACCGAGTGGTGACTCAGTTGGCTAGTAACTGGGTAAGCCCCGGACAAGATGTGATTTTGAGCCCCGCTACTAATGGATCCAAATCCACTTTTGAGAAAAGTATAATGTTGCTAGGTAAAAAGTGTGGTACTATACAATGGAAATTGAATTACGGCCCACACCCCTTGTGTGTAAAACTCGACACAAAATGTGATATTTACATTTCAAAGTTGATGCACTACCAAATAGACAAATAGTTTTATTTTTTTAACATTTCAAAGTTGATATTTATATTGCAGATAGGTAGCTTGTATTTTGGGTTTAGGTATAGTCTCACACTCTCACTTTTTTAGGGCCTGAACTTTTAAATATGTCATTTTAGTACTTAAATTTTCAAAGTCCAACTCTATTAAATTAATGCTACTATATAAGTGATAAATTTACGAAAACACCTATGTTCTAACTCTTTTTTTTTTCTTTTGCCGGTAATCTTTATTCTACATTTGGACTTCAGAAGTAGAAAGGTAAGCGTTCGAAAGTGAGTAGCTAACCTTGTTGCCACTGGTCCAAAGGTAGAAAATAGTGAAAAAACAGAATCAGAACATGGTCAATTATAGAATTTTACCCCTTAATAGAGTTTGGACTTAAATGTATATTTCCACAAGTCCAAATAGTAAAGTGGGACATTTGAAAGTTGAGGCCTTAAAGGGAGAGTATGCCCAAAATGCGAGTAACTATGTAGAATTTACCCAAAAGTGAATCACCCATGTAGCAGAATTTCAATTTGAAATAAGTATCCTACCAAACAAACTCTTTCTTTCAAAGCCCTTAGGCTGCTTCATTGAATGAACTGATCAGCATCAAGCACAGGCCTGATGAAATCAGTAGTTCTGGAACAATTTACATGCATGCAAACTTTGGAACGAGGGATAAATGTTGAAATCCCTGCAGAAGAATCCTACAATCAGCGATAATGGTTGGTGTTCAACAGGATGTTGACAATCTTCAAAACAAACAAACATGAAACAACTTGAGGTCTTTTTCCCATTGTAAGCCCGCTCTAAAAGCTCCAACTTCAGTTACTTCAGCCGGCCGTGCTAGATCGATGTTGATGGCCCGCCCAAACAAGAATGAATGACAATACCAATGGCAATTTCATTGAGAAAGCGCCAAGCTAGCGAGCTTCATATATAACAGCAACTTTGTTTCTCATATTAACATCTGGAATATTGATTCCTCGACCCCTTACCCTTTTTTTGAGGTTGTCCAGATTTGTAACCCCACCAAAAGTCACGTGCCATGGCGTTCACTTGAAAGCAAATGATGCAAGGCAGAAGTTGGGTTGCCATGAAATAGGATGGGATTGCCGTAATGGTTGATTTGAAAACAACTTCCCTAGCTTCCTGCATGTGAGAGACAATTTGCTTTCCAACTTTTCTATGCTTTCATGCATCCTAAATACAACCTTGCATTAATTGCTGCTCAAATAAGGTGCTGAAGTTTCAATTTTGAATTAGAGAAGACACTGGATATAAGACCAGAGTCATTACAAAATGCACCATCTCTTCTCTTTTTTCAAGTAATAATGAGATTTTTCATTATTTTTAGGTTTTGAGATCTTTTAATATAAATAAAACATTTTTTTATTGAATAAAAAAAATCTTTTTTCAATTTTTTGATCGGGCTCAGGCTCAGGCTCAGGCTGTGGCTGGACTTTGGCTTTATATGACCTAAGCCCAATGTTAATCAGGTCGGGCTCAGGCCTGAAAGTATTCTCTTAATACTAACAAAAAACCTAGCTCGTGAACAAGTCTAGCTGCAACCTTGGCCACAGCAAGTATAATGTCTCTACAAGTGTAGGACGTCTACAATTCCAAATGTCCACCAAGTGCATTGAAAAACTCTAAATTGACCATGTATAGGATGATATTTCAATGTTTCATTTTCTTAGAGTGATGACGATTTGATTCCAGCACATCTGATTTGTGTTGTGGTTTGTGTTTTCTTTTAGACTGTGTTTGGTTTGAGGGAATATTTTTGTTTGGTTCAAAAAGGAAAATAGTGAGAAAATCAACACTAATAAAAATTATTAATTAATTAATTAGGTAATAAATAGTATTTTTATTACTTTATATTTTATTATTAATTAATTTTTAATATTTTATTAATTATTCAATATTGATAATTAGTTAATTAATTATTAACTAAGAATTAATATTTTAATTTTTATTTCAAATTTTATTTTATTAATATTTATTACGAAATAATTAAAAATGTTTGTTTTGTACTATTAATTATTTTTAATTGTTTAGCATTTTTATTATTTATTTAATCATTATATACTTAGTTAATTAATTATTATCATTAATTAATAATTTATATTTTATTTTATTAATACCTATGACTTAATTAATAATTTTAATATCAATTATTAAATT